TTCAGTAGGCAGTGGTTATCCTCTTTCTTAAAGGCAGACAAGGAGTCTCAGACATGAGCATTTGCTGGTTATTTGGAATAATCTGTTCTCCTTTTATACTCATTAGTCTCTACAATTTTCCGTGGGTTAGAGCAACCTGTTAACTTTCATATCTAATAGCGTGGTTAATTAATGTCAACTTGCAATACGTGTACGACTTGAAAGATGCAGAACGAAAGCGATGGTGACAGATTGTCTGGCTGTAACTTAAGTGCTCCGCTCGTATTTGTCAATCAACCGAAGAATTATAATGACCAACAAGTGCATAGTGTAGGACCGATGTCAATTTTAATGAATGCTTATCTGAATGTCACATTGAAGTGACAGAGGCAGCGAGCTCTGGAGACATGACAGAGCACGATTATCTTTCCAAGAATAACAAGTGGCGTAAATCTGTGTTGGTGAGTGGTCGATAACCCGTGAGGTGTTCCTGTTGAAGGGAGGAGACTGGCCGGAAACCACTTGAAACTGTCATTGGTGTCCCTCTGCCAACCCCTAGCTCTCTAAATTAAATTGAATTTTTTTGGGCCCATTCTTTTTTCTCCGATCATGTATCGTAATGACCATGAACCAAAAATGCGTGCCCAATTACTTAATGTGTTTTTCGATTGGCAATGAATCCTGGGATACCTCTCACTGAGGTATTATCGACTTACCCTTTGGGGATATGTTCCCTGGAATTTACACCCATGCCAATAACTCTTTCTGCTACCAAGGTCTGACGGATCCATTTGACTCCACGCTCCCAATTATCAGTATTTCTGATTAGAATATTTCATATTAGAATATGTGACGGCTATTGCAATGATGCTTTCTTAGGCAGTTGACCGTCACTATCCTTGTACAACACATTTAAAGAAACGTTTTGATAAAGTCCACCTGAATATTGATTTCTGAGACATTAGTTCAACAATATCATCATTTTCCATGCGGTTCAAGTTGACGGAATATTTTGACTGCGGAATAATTCACAGGTAACGATTGTCATGATGTCCTATTTTTCGCCATTGCTTTCTTTGCATGGTCTGTGTCTGTAGCAGTGGCATAGCCACAGACGGGCCTTGGGACAAGCCCCCCCCTTTCCCAGAGCCCACGTGCCCCACTAAAAAATGGAGGAATGGATATTGAACAGGGCTAAAAAAACTTGCCCAGAAAACACACCACTGAAAGCTGGTTGCACTCCCAAAAGATGGCGGTGCCCCTTTGTGCCCACCCCCATTAGTAAAATCTTAGCTGCGCCACTGGTCTGTGGTTCTAGAGGTTTGCAGTAGCAACACCAATGGTGTTATCAACGCCAGTATTAGTAGCAATAGCAAACCATTACCAAATGCAATAGATAGACCAATGCAAATGGAAATAGCAGTATCAATGCCAAGACAAACAGGAAAAACCAACACGATGGACCTGTTACATGTCCAATTTGAATCAATAGTTCATATTATCAGAAACTCTTTATAACAAAAGTATATACATTTCAAAATTATTTTCCTTAACAATTCTTGCGTAGCTATTTTTTTTTTTTGGGGGGGGGAGGAAGTGGGTGAGTGTGCTAGTTTCCTTTCACAGTTTTCGATAGAGTGAATTCACCTTAATTGACATTGGACATACCTTAAAATTTGTCAAAAAGCAGAATTGCACGGACGAATTTTGCCTATGGTAGGGGTATAGACTCCGGCGACCCTCAGATAAAAAAAAAAGACTTCGAGCAAGCTGCGTTGATTGTTGATCTAGAGAAGATTGGTTCCTGGATAGTAAGCAACACTAATTGCAGTCTGTCAAAGCATCATTTGCCGCGTAATTTATGAGATGCAAGTAACAGGAGACAAGAAGTAATTATTGTGTGGTTATGGTGAGATGAAAGGCGCATTCATTAATTCGCGGCTTCTTTCGTACAAACGCCCAGTTAAGATTCAGTCAGATCAAAATTAAATGTAACGCGGCCGGGTTAATTTTGGGAAAAACCGGAATGGGCTATGCGCTTTTGCGGGGATTATGGGGTAAAACCAAAGGTTTGACTGATTTGACAGCCATTGCATTCTCGATGTCATTTCTTGTTGCTGAAATTCCAGCAACTAAGGATTACTTGTGTCTCTTAAGTTGGTTTTTATCACTGTGCTGCTTGTATTTAGGCCAGTGCTACAGCAACGCATTTGTTGCAACGTGAGGTGATCCAAGAAGGTACAGGACGTATTTTTGGTGAGAATTTCTCTTTGAAAATGACCAATTATTCTGCAGTTGAAAGAAAACGAAGCTTCTTGTAATGAATGAAAATGAATGTCCATCAAGAAAATTGGGAGGCAGTGCCGCACGACTGTGCCCAACCCTGGATCTGTTATTGTTGAATCATCGATAATAAACATTCACTATACACCTCATTCACAGCTTTCACTCTATCACTTAGGAGATATGGACACAAACACGTTTGGGATCAGTTTCATCGTCGAAAATGTAGGAAATGAAGGTTACAAATGAAGTAAAAAAAAAAATTGCCTTGTGGGTTCTGAGCCCAGGGAAATGAAAAAAAAACTGTGG